AAAGGTCATCTTTTGATGAGAAAGGAGTAGAAATCATTTGAAGCATAACTTCTTCACAAAACAAACTACTGCACTACGGTAAACTGAATTACATCATCATATCATCAAATGGGTCCTTTTTTTAGTATTTCACGCTCTCTAAACAGAGGGAGAAAAATAAGCAGCACCAAAACAGTAATGCTTTTCTAATTAGGAACTCTGTCTGAGTGTAAATATGTGGAAAGTGTTATGCAACATGTTTTGAAAATTGTTTAAAAAGGAATATGACATAATTAAAGGAGAAAAAAAACAATCAAGTATTTCTGATTTCAGCACAAGAACCACAACTTAATTAAAAAAAGGGAACTGTAACAAAACTATATACTGCCCCCTGGTGGCTATGTCGCTGTACTGAACCTCTGACCGCATTTATTTATTATATTCTATATTTTACTATAAAATACAACAAAATACACCAAAAAGGAAGAAGGGAAAAAATGTATTCCTGCATCTGTCTTAAAAGGAGATGTCTATTTGGATTTTACTTTGATGTCTGATTAGAAATCCATGTTTAAAGTATTTGTGTTGGGCAAAATTTAGTTATTAATAAAATACAACACATACAAAAGCAACAAAAAAATATATATAAATACTTCTAAGAATATGAAATTATAAACTTCTTTTAATTTTCTAACATAGTAAAATCTTGGGAGATTGTAAAAAATAAAAATAAAAAAAGGAAATGCAATAGTCAAAGGGTTGTGTTATAAACATTTCCTGCCCACCTGTTTACAGGAGGGATGGGAGAAAAAAAAAAATAGAATTGAATTCAAGATGATTTTTATTTTCGGAAATGTACTTATGCTATAAAAACTCACTTCTATATACTAAAATACTATTAAAATAGAGGCAATTGAAAGCATAAAATGGTTCCTGTTTAGTTTGCTCTAGTATTTAAGCTACATGCAAATAAGAGCCATTTCATTGTTTTTTACTGATCACTTTGAGAGTGTGCACAAGTGGTTCTCTGACATTTTTCACTGAGGTGAAGTGGGGGCAGATTTAAATGAGCAAAGAAAACAGCCCCTGCTCCTCACCCCCCCCTCCTTAGACCCCTCCCACCCAATAGTTATATGACTGATCTTGTGGATTCAATATCAACCAACCTGGTAGCAGAGAAATATCACGTCCACATCACTCCCTATAACTCAACTTTGTGAGAAAATTAGAAGTTTGCTCAACTTTTCAAGTTGAAGCAGAAAGGTCACATGGGAACTTTCCTCTGCCGTGGAGGAATATGCATTGAGAGGCAGTGGGGTGAGGTTAATCCCCATTCACCCGGTCCTTCACTCAACCTGCCTGGGCATAATGAGCCCTGCCCACCTCCCACTGCATCACTACTGTGACCTCTGCCCTCAGGTTCAGGGCTGCTGCCCCCCCTTCCTTCTTTATGTCAGTGTTCTGTCATTATCTGCAATATTCACTTCTTTCGATTTCCCTGCTGGGCATCGCTGCCATCCACACAGATTTAATGATTGAACACAAAGCTCTCTATTCACCTGTCCCTGGGTCACTTTAAACCTTCAAATGAAGCTCAAACAGCAGCTAAAGTGGAAACTAGTCTGGGTGTGTTGTTTTTTCTGGGACTTTTTGATTCAGGAAATGAGGAGCAGCATGGATTCAGATCAATAGCTCTTTTTTTGTGTGACATGTTTAGTTTTTTTCTGAATCGTTTCCCCAGATATGAATAAAGCTTTTTAAACTAAATTTTCTAATTATCATAAAAGATTTCAGGAACATTATTGACATGTGGTTTCAAATGTTGCAGTGTTTTGCATTTTATCACCTGAACAGCAGCCATCTATATATATATATATACATACATATATAGTATATATATATATATATATATATATATATATATATACGCCTATGTCTGTGTTGCTTAACTCAAAAATTAAGCAAAACAACATTTGATCAGGTTGAAATATTACATCATATTCATGCAGTGCGACCTGCATCTTGTATCTCGTTATCTGGAGATAATTAGTTAACAAGCTTATTGTTTAGTGATAAAGGTCAAATTATTTCATTATTTAATCAAAATCCATATTCTGAGATGTTATCTTGAACTAACCGAACTCTTGAGTTAGGTTCTTGAGATTGTATAGTTATAAAAAAAGTCAAATTATTTCTCTAAAGCTTTAGAGTGATGGTACAATAAATGAACTGTTAAGAAAGGATTAGATTTTTTTAGTATTTTAAGTATTTTTTTCAAAAATTCTTCATCCAAAGTTAATGTAATTTGGAGCTTAATATTTTACATCTTCCTTGTCTTGTACCGATATATTGGATTGATTTTTTTAACCCTCTTGTGACTATTTGAATTTTTTTTAATTATTATATTAAGTTTAATTATTTTTGTTAGAGCAGCTTTAATTCTCTAATAACCCTGAAAAACTAAGATCTATTAAAAAGCTTTGCCTTTTCTTCTTGTCAAACTGCTAACCTCTCATTTTGTGATATTTACTTAAAATATTTGTTTTTATAAAACATTAAAGCAACTCACACCAGAACACAACATTAACTGCTCCAGATTAACACATTATTCTCATACAATAGGTTCCGTCTTATTTATATAATGAAAAAAAGACTATTTCATTTCTCTTTGAGATTAACACGTTTTTTTTTTTTTCTGAACTGAATTAATGATTCATGATTTTGTAAAAGGTAAACCCAAAAACCTAATAAGTATGCAGCCACAGGGACCATCTGGTAGTATTTCACTCAGACGATGTGTGTGAAAAAATTACTTCCCAGTTTATTGGGCCTTTTTATATTCTGGACAATGAAACACTAGGAAGAGTTTTACTTTATCATTGAATGTGTTTTTCTATAGTTTTGCTTTCTTTGGAAAATGCTAATGTCCATTTTTTACAAGAAACCCAGTTTTAAGCGCTCACCTTTAATCTTGCTTTTAATTTTCAGTATATAATGATTGAAACATAATCATCTGAGTCCATTCAAGCTTCTCTCTGCCAACTCTAACTTGATGTTAGACTCTGATGCTCTTTGTTTACATTTAGAGGATATTTTAGAGCTTAACAGAATCAAAAGCCCACTCTAGTTTGACTGCAGCGCCACCTGCTGACCAGAAATAGAGCTGTGTCTCCTCAGCTTGAACACAGATTAGTGAAAAAACTTAGATCAGCCTCATTTGAAAACAAACTAGAGAATGAGAATAGGTTAAAAAAAAAACAGAAATCTTCTGCTGAGAAATTATGATTACAATATGTCAACAATGCGGTCTGACTGAGTAGGCTAATCAGAGCCTACTACATTTTTAATGACGTGTTTCATTATAATTGTGTGTTTGACCTACACAAAGCCTATCTATGTGTAGTTTTCATCTCAGTATAATAAGACAGCTTTTTTAGGGACTGAAAGGTTTCTTATAGGTTAGTGAACCAGAAGCATCATAGTGAGACACAGCAGTGGCAGCATTATAATACAGGGATTCTTCCCTTCATCAGGGGTGACAGAGCTAGCAGAGGTAGGTAGTAACTAGTCATTTACTTAGCTACACTTAAGTTGTGTTTTGAAAAACAATTACTTTTAGTAGTAATACTTTATTATACTTTAGTTTAATATCCTTGTCAGACTATCGCTACCCTGGTAGTGGTTTAATCTCATGTCCTTACTGTGTGTCGGTGATGTACTTCTATTTTATTGTTTTGTTTTTTAACATCATGGCCAGCAGACAATGGATGGATCTTTGGCTAAATACCTCATTTTAAACTCATGAATTCTCATGTCATGTGTTTTACAAAACCTGCATTGTCCCCTTTCAAATCAAACTGTAGCCACCACAAGTAACTGGAGCTATTTGGAGATCAGGTGAAAGTAACTGGAACTGGAAGTTCTCAATCCTTTTCATATATATACGGTATATATACATATATATATATATATATATAAACAATACCTATTGTAGGGATTGGTTTTGCAAGTTTAAGCGCTTTATACTTAAAACAAATTTCACATAACTATGTCTGATTTCACCATTTTAAACATTAAATCAGATGTTATGATCCCACAATGATTCAAAACTAGCCATTTTCAAAAAATACTTTCTTTACTCTTCTTGAGTTATTTCTTCGAGGACCACTTTCTACTTTAAAAATGTTGCTAAATTAGTGCTCCTCTTACCTGAGTAATTTTAAGATACTTTATTCACCTCTGTTGATGAGAACATTGATATATACCTAGACCTAAAGACATTTCACTCTATTTCAGCAAAACACTGGAGCATTATAGCAGAGGTCCTCCCTGCTGCTGATTGGCTTTATAACCTTCACTGCTCCAATAAGTGTTTGTATTAGTTTAAGTTCGTAGTTTATGCTCCTTTCATAGACCTGACTTGTATCTGTGCCATTAGACTGAGTTTTTTTTTATTTGTAAATGTGCTGGAGCTGTTTCCCAGTATGTTAAAATTCTTTATCTAATGGCTGTAGTGTGAGATTTTCTTCCTTTGCTCTACTCTTTAAACATTTTTTATTTACCTTTTTTGTACATTTTGGAGTCTTGTTTGTTCCCGTATGCTTTGCTTATGCGAACCTGAATTTCCAAACATTGTGACAGTAATGGCGATTTCTATTCTAAAATACAAACCAAAAAGCAAAATAAATCACAAGATTTAAGATTGAGGTAAAGATTCCCCCTCAGAAAGAACTGAATATTTATATATATTTATAGACGCCTTCCATCTAATCTGACTGGGATTATTTATCAACTTTACAGACAAAACAAAGGGAGGTTTTGTAAATATTGGACACTAAAATAATGCAATAGATTATCAAACTACTCAGTTGAAAATTGTCTAAATGGTCATTAAGCTGAACTTATTCTTAAGATGAATTAAGTAGCAAAGTCAGGCTTTTCTTCTCTTCTCAAAGACTAACTCTTTACAGACACCAAAAGGTTTCAAAGAACCAAGATACAGACTGCTAGAAAACAAAATGCATCTTTAAAACTTTAATTCATGAGTTTAATAAAATAAAAACAAAAACATTCAGTTTGAACAGGTTGGAAGAGTCTTTTTACTTCTGTCATCTGGTGTGAGCAGACAGGGAAAACCATCCTTCTCGTTCTCTTTGCTTCTCCATCTGATGAGGGGACAGTAAAAACCATGAGTTCATTTAGCAGTTTTATTTTTGCAGATTATAATCTGGAGTTAATGAGTGCACCTCTTTTCCTCCAGTCTGCCTTTCAAAACCAGCACTGTTAGAAGACATAGAACCAGCAGATCTGCAACAGAAATGTTTATCGTTAGCATGCTAGGTGTGTTATCAGGAGCCCCACAGATCTATAGGTTTTGATAGTCCTGTAAATCGGCTCTGGCACTCACCGCCGATGGGAGCGAAACGCCGTCTCCTCTGGGCTCGTTCCTGAGGATTAACATTTCTTTTAGTTTTATATGCCGTGTCTGACAGCAGCTTGCTTCATTTACCCATCGTACCTGCTGAGTTTGGACTGAAGGCCGAGGCAGGGATGGGGGACGCAGATGGAGAGACTCTGACCAAAGAGCTCTGCTTCTGCTGCTCGATCAGCTCCAACAGTCGACTCCTGGCTGCGGCGCTCTGTCTGTTGAGCTCCAGGAGGCGCTGCTCCACGCTTAGAGAGGAGGAGGATCCTGCCTGAATGAGGAAACAGAAACCATCCACTTTTATTTATCTTGTTTAACCTAAAGTTGAAATACAAAAGCTGTTGTAATTTTTCTTTACTTAAAATCTGCATATGACTAAATAAAGTGTCTGTGTTCTCTCTAATGACAATGGTTTTTTAATGTGAAGATTTTTTTTAAATTAAATTTCAAATCCAAACATATGAAAATTATGTTTTAATTGATCTTATGTCACACATATGTACAATAGTGAGTGGTAATAAGCTGTTTGCAACCAAAGACGCAGAAGAAGCAGAATTCTACATCCCATTAAGTCAGACTGAGGCTAGGCTAATGTTTAGCAGATGATTTGTGATCCACTGGATACTGTAACACTGACGATATGCTGCCGTTTTCAGAACATACGGTCAAAGAAAACACAACTAAAAGATTTGGTGGTATGAACTTTTACAGTCATCTCCAACACATACACACATTTACAGCCACATACATGAACATTACTTTGTTGTAACCATTTTTAACTGTCATTGTTTAAAAGTGACAAGCCAGATGCCATTCTTGGCTTTCATTGACACTCCTGTTACATTGTAATAACAATATATAATTATTTCACCATCATAGTAAAACAGTAAAACATTAGGATTTACAACATTTAAATTCTTGGTTTAAAGGTTGCTATATTGATTATAACATAATAATCATGATTAAGCTCAGATTTAGATGTTATATTAATGTTATATGATTTTTTTATTTTATTGATGCCGTTCTTTTATCTAAAACTTAAAAAAAACAAATGCAGAAATAGTGGAATGTCTTTATGGGCTTTTACATTAGCGTAATAAATGTTAAATATTTTAGAAGTTTATCTATTAGAAGGTTACGGGTTAAACAGCTTCTCACCTGAGATGTTGATGACCTCTCTTCTGGAGAGGGAGGATGCTGGCCTCTGCTTGAGCTGCTGGACCGGGGCCTTCTGCTCTCTGCTGCACTCTGCGGCGTCACTCTGCCAATGCTAACTGGGCTAGACTTACTCTGCTCACTGCTGCTGCTGCTGGGCAGACCTGTGACCCCTGACCCTAGGATCTTCGCCTGGCTAAGCTGAGCCTTGATCAGGTCGTTCTGTCTTTTCAGCTCAGCGATCTCAGCCAGCATGGCTTCTGCAGAGGGCAGGAAGTGGGGTTGGTAAGAGAGGAGTGACGATGAGGAGGCAGAGGGGAGAGTTGAGGTAGAGAGATGAGACTGGACATCTTCATAGGAACGCTGGATATCTGAGGGGGGAGGGTATCGCTGCACAGGTAACCCAGGATTTCCTGGAAAAGAAGAGAACAGATTACTAATTTTTCACTGAATTTTTTACAGATAAATTAACTAATGATCCTGGAAACTTTACCAGGACTATGTTGCCAGTTATCGCTTTGTCGGGGTGGGGAAAGGAGGACCGCAGGAGAGACGCTAGTTTGGGTTTTCTCTGGAGGCCTTTCAACACCAGGAGGCGACTGAAACGCTGTTTCAGCAATTCATTAAACATCCATTCTAATACACACACAGCAAACAGACACAGAGTGACATCACATTCATACCATTAGACTGGGACAGGCTTTCCTCCGATTCCTTGACTGGAATCATCTGATCTCCAAGTAGTCCCAGTCCTCCCATCAGGAGAACCACTGAATCCAGCTTCTGCTCCAAGTCGGCGGTACGCTGCTGTAATACCGCCTGATCGGTTAAACAGCAGACAAGGATCAAAGGTCAATCATGAAGGAATATCAGGTTGTCTGAAAGCTATCTGCACACGATGGCTCTCAGCGTCACCTGTGAGGCGGCAGCCTCTTCTCTCAGGGTCATGGTTTCAGCTGTTAGAGCGTCGATAAGCCCTCGCTGCTCCTTCAGCTCATCCAACAGTCCTCTTCTTTCATTGGCGTCTTTCTCAGCTTCTGCTTCTCTCTTACACAAAAAGGAGAGAATAAATCCTTCCACAGATCAAACTAAGAAACGACTTTAACTTTCACTGTTGTAACAAATCAAACAAGAGAAATTAACTTATCATTTCAAGTAATATAACAAGTCTGCAAAATCTGCACACAGGTAGAAACAAATGTAGAACTAATTCATAAATCCAGGCAACACCATTTTAAAAAAGTGAGGTCATTTATAGAACATCAGCATGAGGCATCATATGTGATAAATGCGTATTTTTGGGCATCATTTTTATGTTTTCCTGTCATAATGGTATCTGCACCAATTAGATCTCGGTCACTTAGACCTACATCAGTGATGGTGGTCAGATGTATCATTTGCAACCAGAGGTTTACAGCCAAGCAATACTACACACCCTGATACTACAATGGCGTTTTTCTCATCAACGGAGGACGAATATATATCCGGCAATATAAGCTTCTGTAAAAAAATTTATGTTAGAACTGTAAATATACAGTCATGTTTATATAACTATTTTTTAAATGTTTTTATTACCGTTTTTCAAGGCTGCACTCTAAAAAATGAAATAGTCTAGAGCCGTTTTAAACGAAATTTCTTTTTGTATACAGTTGTGTATACAAAATAAATCTAAGTCTGTAAATAAATTCAGAATAGAAAAAAACAGCAGAAGAGTTTTACAAAAATGGCGACATAGAAGAAAAGAGCAAACTACTCTGTATTCAAACTGTAATAAAGCCTTCCCAGGTGTTCTTATTTACCTCTCTGAGGAGGTGGACTACACGTCCCAGTGTGGAGACCAAAGCAACAGAGAATCCTGTTAGACCTCGTCTTCTGTGGGGTTCCAGGCCCCCTGCTGATTCTGGTGCTGTGTCAGGACTCAGAGAGTCCAAGTCTGCCTTGACTTGACCCAACATTTCCTGCAGGAGGCCTAGAGTGGACTGATCTCCACTAAGAGACGCAACTGAAGAGCCGTCCAGCTCCAATGTCCCAGAAACACACTTCCTGGTCTTTTCTGTGCGTTTGCTGATTCTTTCTAAAGAAAAAAATATATATAACAGTATTTAATCATTAAATAATTTTATAAAAGTTAAGAAATAAAGCTGTGTTTTATGGAAATTACCTGACTGATTTAGAGGAAGTTCAGGATTCAGGACCTGGGAAACTAGGACAGCAGCCTCTTGCTTGTCCTGGTGTGACGGAGGCTGCTTGGACAGATGTCGTTGAACCGCTGCAGTGGCGTTAAGAGCTGAAATAAAAAGGGCTGTATGAGTCTGTATGCTGAATTAAATCACCTCACATCATGAATTCAACATGAAGATTACCAGTTAGGCTGGGTGCCCTGCCTGAGCTCACGGGGGTCACAGGGACATTTTCTTTATCTCCTGGATGAGATCTGAGGTGATGACCTTTGTGTTTGTTTGTCACTCTACCTTGAGATTTCATTTTCCTGACATATGCCCTGCAAACACAAACACAAGGATCAACATCAATGCATAGCTTCAAACCAGGCGCTTACATACAGTAATCGTTGATAAAAACCTCATTGTATTAAAATTATTATTCTTCTTCACTGGGGGAATTATTATATAAGAAAAAAAGCGACTAAGAATCAGAAAAATGAGAATTGGATGCACAATTTGTAATTTATTTCCGATTTTGTCGAATCAGAACAGTGCCATAAATAAGTCGACACACATTCTGTTTATAAATTTCAGAAAAGGTTCAAACTTTTTGTAACTTTGGACATTTGACCACAGCTCTGATCAGATAACTCATTTTAGTTGTTTGTTTTTTAAACTACAGATCTGGGGTTTAGAATGTGCTGCTTTCTCCAAACACTTGATATTATTAAGTTTTATCCATTTCAAAACTGGTCCTGATGCTTCTTTGAGATCCCCGGGCCTCATGCAAAAACATTTTCGTATTGTTGTCCTAAACTTGTCCTGCTTATTAATCCTACCATGGGCCATTCAAAAAACGTTCTTAACTTCAGTAAATTATCCTTTTAAACCTGATGCAGTCCAACACTGTAAGTGTGCGCTCCTGAGAAATGTAAATCTGCCTAATTACTGCCCCAATAATGCCATATAAGGCTACATACAGTAGCAGCCATTGAAAATGGCCCTTTCCAGTCCCAGTCAGACGCCAGTCGAATGGCAGCCCACTTCCCTCCAAGTCCCAGTGAAATTCCCTCCAACTTCCAGCCACTGGCGTGACCCCCCATTGCATACCGGTATGTTTTTTGCTCTGACTCCACGCTTTCACTGAATTAAAGGATCTGACCAGGAGATGAAGCCTCTCTTTAGATCTTAATGTCCACAAATCATGACAGAAAGAATATTTTAGTACAAAGATTGATGTTTAAAAAGTAATTGTAGGGGACAAGCCAAGGACTCATGGGGAAATTTGGAATGGCTACTACTGTATAAGTGGGAGGGCTACGACTTCCCAAGCTTGACAGAAGGTGTTCATTCAAAGAAATTGCAATTAAGAGGAAGATGGAGAATCTGCTGACTGAGAGCAGAGCAGCAGAATTAAAGGTACAGTAAAAAGCCAAGCAGTGTGAAATAAATGACAAGAGCCATGATTGCACTATTACAGAAGTAAAAATAAAAGAATAAAAAGAAAAATCATCTGATTTAAAAATACTTAATGAAAAGTACCGATGGAGACCTCTTGTCTCCATCGGTACAACGTATGACCGAAAGTTCACCATCAACAAACATGACAAAATTCTCCATTATATAAACATGCACACCTGTACTGTACATCTCCAGACCGTCTGTTCTTCCTTCCTCTCTCAAGCATAATATTTATATTTAATATATATATATTAAAATGTTAATGGTGAAACTCTAATTTGATGAAATCAGACAGAACAATACCGAAATATTCCACATTTAGAATAACAACAAAGCAAAGAGCCGCCATGGAGTGAACTGAATGCACGTCTCACTGTGTTGCTGAACTTTCCATCCATTTTCTTTTCTAGGTGTTATTTCAAGAGTAGCTTTATCTCTGACTGTTCTTTCTTTTGAAAAGATAACAACAAATTAAAGCAGCGTCCAGTGAATACCAACATGCCAGAGCCACCATAAAATTGTTTTGTACCTGGGAGAAGAAGGGTGAATGCAACCTTTCTCCTAAATCACTTAAATGAACGATTTAAGAACAAATTTGTTTGTACGAACGGTTCTTGCATGAGGCCCATTGTTCAGCTGAAAAATCCAACTACATCAGGTTTGCTTATATGCTTTCTTCAATAAGAAAGATGACTGTGAGTGAGATTATGAAAAACAGGAAACCATCCAGACTAAAGTCTGATAAAAACTGCTGGAGCACCAGTGTCATGGTCCAGTTTAACATAACCACAGACTGGGAGGGAGCTGACCAAGAAAGATAAGTTTGCTGCAAAACATAAATCAACAGAAACCAAACATTTTTTAATTACTGCTCTAAGTGGGTTGCTCTGTCTGCTAAAGCCATGTTTTAGAGTCTCAACACTCCAATTAATTAATTAATCGATTTCTAAATTATTTGATGATTATTTTAATAATCAATTAATCTGCTTATTTTTCCAGTCCTACTTTAAACCTTTTTTTTCAGATCAATTGAACCCCACTTTATTATACAGATCAGAATCTTATCCAAATGTAAACTAGGCTCTTGTTCTCGGATCAGTACCTTCTGATGACACGACTCTCTGAGTTGCATGAGGGATCAGTATTCTCATCTCTGTCGTCCTCCCTTGAAACGTCTACCTCATTCAGAGCCTGAAACAATAATTTTTGTCCCATAAATATGTCAGTAAATATCAAAAACCCAAATTACTCTAAAGGAAAATAAACCAATATCATTACTTACTGTTTGGTCCATCATGGATTGGCTAAGTAGGGACAGCTGGGTTGGAGGATCTGGTTTGTGGAAAACAGGCGGTTCTGAGTCAGAATCACAGTTTGGAGCTACAGTCACAGTGGGGTGCCCTATAGAAGTACACATCAAGCTATAACTACACACCTAAAGGAGAAAATCCCACATAAGGCAATAAACTTCAAATTTTTACTTACCAGTCTGCCTCCGTGGAGCATCTCCAAACAGGTCCTTGACCACAGCTATGGCCCTGTCAGACCGGTCCAGCACGTCCTGCAGCAGCAGCTGATCAGAGAAAACCTGCAGAGGGACATTTACCGCTGCTGGTGAAGATCCCCAGTCATCCAGGTCATAGTCATTCAAAAAGAGTAACAAAAAAAAAAGAAAAAAATAACCACTGGAATTTGTTTCCAGGTTTGAAGACAGTTTGCTTCCCATCCAGGAAGCTTTCTCAATTCAAAATCAACATTTCAATTGAATTCAAAATTTTGAATTGAGAAAGCTTCCTGGATGGGAAGCGAAACGTCCCCATACAACTTTTTCCTTTCTGATAGAATACCAACATGTCAGCTTTGAGAATTGTCCGATACAGATATTGATCGGATACGATATCAGCACGAATCATACCAGCCTTTATTATTTAGTTTATACCGTAGAATGTTAGAAAAGGGTTTATTAAATAATATTACCCAAACAGGGAACAAAGTCAACAACACAAGGTATGAAAAGAATTGAGCCATTTAAAATTGACCAATGAGTTATAGAAACTTTAGAGACGAGTTTTTCTATCAGTGTGAAAATATCGGAGATTTTAGACGCCAGTCGATTAAATTCGATTGTTATTTTTGGACTGATATCTGATATTTGTATCAGATCGAGACATCAAGACTATAAAAAAAGCTTTTTTTTTTTCCTTATCTGAAAGATGATCCATCCCACATACCTCTCTGATGATGCTGAGGCTGGCCTGGTCCAGGGGAGCAGGGCTGCCAGCATGTCTGAAGCGTCGCCACAGAGCTTTCTCTCTGAGCTCCCACTGAGCCGCAGCTTTGTTATGAGACTTGTGGATCTCATGTCGATGACTCTGAAGCAGAGGAAAATAAAAAATCTCTTTTGCAGTTAAACCAAATGTCAGATCCTGTGAAAAAAAGTTTCTCTCAGACTATGTTCCTTAAAGATACTGCTATAATCAAAATATTTTACCAGCTCAGCAGGGGTCAGCTTGTGCACAGAGAGGTCGTTAACAGTCCCCTGAAGCAATACGGGCAACAATTAGGTTTACAAAAAATGCTGTACAACAAATAACAATAAAGTTTTCATCTTGCTACCATTCATTCAAAAAACTAAGAAGAAATTATGTTTAATGCTGGTAATCAGACCCCTAGATTATCTTGGTCTTGGTCCAAGACCATAAACAAGTGGGCTGTGATCAAATGAAGTTGATCTGTTGTATTTGTATTAAGTGTAGCCCAAACTACTCACCACCCAGTCTTTCCTGGGAGCTGCTGTCTTCTTAGGGCGAACAGCTCTTTTCCCTTTAGCTAGCTGCTGCTGCTGCGGACCCTTCCTCACCAACGACATCGACCCACTCAGTAAGCTAGCTAAGAGGCGTTACACAAACTAATTCAAACCCCCTTCTGGTTGCAATTTCTGCGTCACTGCTAACCCCGAAAACCAAAACTGAATTTTTCTGTCTGACGCTAATGTAAGTCTGAAAAATTGACTTTATGCGGATATAAATATCAGAAAGAAAGCTAGAAACAGTAAACCTGTAACTTCTTAGCGACTGATTTAAATTGTTGCGCGCCACTTCCTGTGCTGCTGCTATGGAAACCTTTGCTTCATCCTGTAGCTCACGGAACCAGCTTTAAGGATCACTGGCGCCACCAAGCGGCCCGGATGAATACATACAATGATTTAATCATATAAACCTTTTTAAAGGTGAATTCTCAAGCAGAACCTTATAAGAGAATAAAAAGATGAACTACCCACACATAAATCAAAATATATAGTATATAGCTGTATAGTTTATACATAGTAGACTGTGTTAATGTAATGTGAAGTAAAAGAAAATTATACATAATTTTCCCATTTATAACATATGGAAATGTTAAATATGTGACATGCATTTGTCTTTTTACATAGTCATCCACCTGCATATTTGAACATATTTGAAATTAGTATTTAACAAATGCAAGCCAACATATATGTCTCTTATAACCTGAAGAAAAAAAAACAAGAACACAATCAGAGAAGAAGAAGAATATCTTCTTTGTCTTATTTTTTTTTTATTTTTTTGAAAGAAATGAATATTAGACACGCATTCCATAAATAAGAACAAAACAGAACCCTTTGATCTGCATACCAGACTCTTCTGATGTTCACAAATGCTCTCCATTCAACCTTACTGAGGTTCAGCTATTTTGGGAATTGGGCAAAGATTTTTGTCTCTAAATGGGGAAAGCAGCAATAGACACGCATAATAAGCACTAGAGTAAATGCATTTAAAAGATTCAACAAAAGTTAGAAGGAGAGGCCAGAATAATGGACATTTGTAGAAAGGAAAAACACCTAAACAATCCCCCAAAAACATCTATAATTGATTTAAGTCAATTTGTGAATGAATATACAAGTAATTGTATTTCATATAGTGTTAATGTAAGTTAAAATACATTTACTTGTATATTTATTCACAAATTGTCTTAAATCAGCTAATGAACAGTAAACACATGAACAGCAACACATACATTGACTGCTTTTAGTTCTTACATAAAGGAAGAGGATGGCAATGCAGTGTCTTTGTAAGAGCCTAAAGATTTACACCATTTATAGCAAGCAATTTTTATATTATATTTCTATTTATCAATTATAACAGTATGCCAAGATATTGGGAGAGAAGAGGTAAACAAGGGGCTCAGATTTCTTGTTGGAAATTTCTGGGGTTTTTTTGTATAGCCCTATGGATCAAAACTTTCTTTTTTTTTAAATTTTCTGAGTCTTCATTGATCTATTATCGCTGAGCACATGAAAATGTATCAATGTAGCGCAACACCACTAGATGGCAATTGTGTTGCATAGAATACCAATGCATGCGTGTAGAGTAAAGGAATCATCTGCAAGGAAAAGAGCCAAACTGCCAAAAATATTTGCATCGGCATCAAAAAATTGATGTTTGGGACTTTTGACACATAAGTTTGTCCTGAATTTGTTTAAAAAACTTGTAGAAGGCGTTTTTTTTTTTTTTCTAAGAGACAATCTCAAAAACCAATGTATGTGCATTTAACCTCTTTCACTCTGACACCCCTAAATAAAATCCCCTTGCACACAAAGAACATGCAGTGATGCTTGCTGCTGGTATGGCCAAGGATTAATTTAGTGATTCTCTCTCATAATGGCATGATTATCAAAATGTATTATTTTAAATTTTTTTCCCCCCTTTTTTTATATATATGGCAGCTGCTTTTGTTTTACTGCCTCCGGATTATCCTTTTATAATTTTCTGTTAGAGCTAATAAATCCTGATAGAGATCAAGATGTAAATAAATAAGAATGTGATGAAAATATTAATTTAGCTGTTTTACAGTTTATTAAACTCCCAAATTCAGATTCTTAAAAAGGATGGATTATAAAAATAAAAAAATAAAAATCAAGGAAAAGGTTTGTTTACTGGAAAGTTAACACATCCACTAAGTTTTTGGTTAAGGGTTTTTCTTGCATAACTTGCTTAATCAATGCCTTTTCTCTCACTTTTTTTTTTTTTTTTTACTTTTGCGCCCTTTTCTATCGCCTTTTTTCCTTCTGCTAAACTTTCTGTTGGGTTTAATGAGCTGGACCTGTATTTGAAGGTCCAACACGAAGCTGTCTGACAGTTTTTCACCTGATGATACTCATGCAGAGACACAGTGGGGTGCTTCATTTGCATCTGTCCTCTTTTACGCCCCACAGACTCACAGTGGGAGAGTCTGCGCAGCTCAGTCAGTCAGCAGCACACAGAGAAACAGACGCCGATGCGCACTTGGCCGATTGACTTTTGACTTTAAACAATGCAGAGCAGGACAGAAAAGTTGGAAATTGTATCTTTGGGGACTGGACTGGCTGGGACTTGGACAGCAGCTGTGCGCCAACGATTGTGCGTCCATGTGATGGTTCCCCTGCATTCCTAAGGAGAGTCATCTGAAGAGCTGGGAGAAGACGCGAACAGCCGGACTGCAGCCAACAGAGAGAAATCCATAAATCCTTTTTTTATATATTGGATTTACCACAGCTGGAATATCAGTTTAACTTTCGTTTTAAGACAGCTTCACTGTATAAGGCACACTCTGGAGTATACTTTTGGAGACGTTGGATCTGTTTTACGCACGGGATTTTCTCAACAAATGACAACCTGTGTTCGCACCTCATCTCTCCTCCTTCATCCTCTGAGGTCTTTTTACCACATAGACCCAAATCATCGCCACCCGCTGCAACAGCTTTGACAAAGGAGCCTCAAAGGTGACCCTCCGTGCATCCAAACGCACCAGCGTGCGGCTGAGAATGCGGGAAGGAGGAATCCCGATGTCGGTCCCCGTGGTTTTGACTCTGCTTCTGGTCGTCATAGACGTGAAGGCCAGCGGGGAATACTGTCACGGGTGGCGAGACCCACAGGGCGCCTGGAAAGACGGGTTCCAGTGCCCGGAGAACATCGACGGGGTTGACGCGATCATCTGCTGCGGGAAGTGCGAGCTGCGGTACTGCTGCGCCAGCACGGACGCACGGCTGGATCAGGGCAGCTGCGAGAACGACAAGCTGACTGAGGTACCAGGGACGGAGAGCAAAGAGAACAAGGACTCCAGGGCAGGTAAAGATGAAATAAATGGTTCCCCTGGTTAAGCACTGCCTAATGCTCAGAAAATAGAATCAAATAAAACAAAACATGTTTTTATAATAATCTAAATAGTCTGTAAAACAACAAAACAATTCAGTTGACCACCACTCTGAATATGCATGTTTCACATTCACTTCAATCTCAAGCTGGTTAAATAATTTAAAACAGACTAAAAACAATCTCTAATTGGATTATTAAAAACTTTTATGAAGTGTAGCATAATGTAGGTAAGGTCTGACCGGTCTAAGATTGCAAGAAATAAGTCTTAGGAAAAAGACAGCTCTTTAAATTCGCACCAAATCATAAATTATAACAATGGTGCATGTCCCTTAAACACCACAAGGGGCGCTGCTCTCTCTTAAAGTGAAGCTAAACAGTAAAACAAAACTTACTGAAAGCAGAGTTGGCATTGATCTTATTGATTTGTATGTATTACTGTTCTCCAATGAGCATGGCGCATCTGCAGGAAGAGCAACAATATTTTTTAAAGAAACAGTCATTGACCAGATTTGTAAATGAACAAAACAAAATTACCTCATCCTAGGTGCCTAAATCTATTTAATGGAAAATTAATGTCAAATGATTCTCATTTTCTTTAGGATGACTTTGAACTTCTTAAGCTGGGATTCTCTGAAAAGAAGAATAAAATCAGAGTTCTTAAATAATAAAAGTGCTTTAGTGTAACCCATTTGGCAGTGATGCCTTGTCTAAAAATGTAGATAGAAAAAGAACAAAAACTTGTTCTTATCCAGCTTACTAGAAGTACTGACAGCTTGAAAAATAGATTAATTATAGTATATATACTTCATACATTGAATAATTTAAATAATTGCATAAAGAAGATATACTTTTAGATCTCCATTAAAACATTTTTTTTTCATGTTGATGGTTTTCCATTGTCATATGAACCTCTGCTCATGATACTTTTGGGCTTGGTGGTCCAGTTGGGAACGTGTGAAGGTCTGGTTTTCCCCTCCATTAACATAGTATTGCCCACAGCAGCCATTACTGTGTTAAAAAGGACTCATCTGTTGCGACAGCTGCACAGGAGACAGCAGACTCTTCCAAAAACCAGTTAACAGCCCTCACAAATGGCAAATTGTGCCACGCCGTTGGACTTTATAAATAGCCGTGTTTGTCCTGTAACAGTGCAGAGTTGATCCAGGCTCAATCACGCCGTCCCCACGGGGATCAAATTTGGACTTGACCAGATCTTGGAGAGTGGCCGGTCCAAGGTGCTGACAGGACTGTTCATAAAACAAGGGGAAAAATAAATAAATTATGTGATTCTCCTTTTTAACAACCTACCTCCCTCCCACTGCAGCCTCTGTGGGTGTTAGGAGTTTCTCCCCACATTCAGAGAGGCGTAATCACCAAAAACAACAGCTAAACCTGTATTTTTCAGCTTATGTTGCTGATTTGTTGACAAAACAAAATCAGTCGTCCTTGCCGACATTCCCTTGAGTTAATCTTCCATAAAGTCTTTGAACTTCCCTTTTATTTTTTTTTAAGGCATCAAGAAGAAAGCAAATATTAGTCAGGAGAGGCTTATTGCTTGTTTTTGTTCCCTGGTCTTCCAGTGTAACCTGTCATTTGCAGCTATCATACCTTATCACTACAGGAAGAGGAATATACATTCCATTCTATGGCTTCCTGCCAAAATTACATCAACATGGTCATTTTTTCCCCCCACCAAGTACAAAGAGCATGTTTTTTTTTTATTTAAACAGGAAAACCTTGTTCAATTTGCACATCTTGCTCATTTTTCAATTAATTATAGTCTATTCATCATTCCAGAATGATACAGTGGCAGGAAATTATTAATGTGCTCAACATGAGGGAACATGTGGTATTTAGGAACAAGAGAATCCCGTGGGACGGGCCCCGAGGAGACAGAGGGAGGCTGGCTGGCCGGCCTCAGACAGACTCTGCCCCAAACAAGAGCTTAAAATGAGGGGGGGTTGCTGCTAACTGCAGCGTGGCCGCCACAGCTCAGCTGCAGCAACAGGTGTGGACGAGTGACAAGAAACAATAGGGGAGCTTCGACCGCCCTGCGCACACAAAAATATCCCTGCCCATTAAAAGACATCAAATCCAAATATATTTAATCTACACACTAATAAATGTTCATCTACTTTCACATAAAAGTTTTCCTCTTTTTCCACCCCATCAGTCCAGCCTCCCAGATGTGCATTATGATCCTTCACATGGGCGGTTCTACACAGGGGCCAACAGGTGCCAGTGCCCCTGTAGAACTAGTTCTGGCCTCTTATGGCCCCCGTATAAAAACATAATGCTAAATCCATTTCTTATGACATGAGGTGACAGAATGGATTGGAATTGGCTGGTCCATTACACCACTTTAGTCTCTCACGGTTACTGTTCACTTTAGAAATAAGGTGTGAATCCCTACGCTTCAGCCATGTTGACATAATATCACAGTTTTCACCTTCTAGATCAGGGGTTTCCATAGTGGGGGCCTGGGACTCAGTGGATGATAGACACCAATTGGACGGTCACAAGATAGTTTTCACAATCACTGTGATATATATATAGGCAAAAGAGACATCATGAGATACATGAATGTCCCATAAAATAACAAAATGCACCATAACATCAGTACATCTAGCATTTATTGAAATAGCTGTCTCTAATACAAGATTCAAATATACCAAATTAAATAATTAAATGTCTTATTAAGTAATTGAAAACACTTTAAAATGATCAATGAATAATTGAATGTTATTTAAAAAATAAATATATTCAAAACAAAATATAATTGCAATATTTTATATGTATGAATTAATATAGAGTAGGGTTGATTGATGAATTGATTGATGGACTTTATTGATCTCAGAGTGGAGAAATGTACTCGTTACATCAGCTCAAATAGTCAAAGGAGACCAATGTGGCAAAGGAAGAAAAAGGTGGATGGGATATATACAGTATATACAGTGCGTACACATATGACAGCTTTTTTTCTTAATAGTAGGATTATTGTACAGGATTATTGCACAGGGTGACATTTTATTTGAATTTTGGAGGCACTCTAGACTATTTCAATGTTTATTTCTGGGGTAACAGGCTTAAATGTTTTGCAGCCCCTGTTCTAGACCTGTCAGGCTCAGAACTGAAGGATCCAGTATTCAAGGCGGACAAACAGATTTCTCAGAACGTTTCTTGAAAACAGAATTGGGGTGAGCGGCGTCAGCGTCTAAGGCAGTAACCTCTGGTCTTAAAGTTCAGTCCGAATCCATAGGTAGGGGATGGTTCCGGTCAACTGGATGCCAATGCCAAGAGGTCAGAGATCCAGTGAGATAGAATCTCACTAACAGCTCAAAATAATCTGGCACTGATGACTGGTTTGAAGGCTGGTTAAATAGAGTCTACTGCAGCTGGATGAGATGAGTGGGAAATGTGAACTGGATGGAGTTAAGCAAGTGTTTGAAATGCGTAATCAGACCAGGCATCAGTTTTGAGATCATGACAAGATCAAGGACACTGAGTATATTAAATAATGCATGATTTCCCTGTTTTTTAGTTTTTTTTATGTGCCCCCATGAAAAAAACACTGGCTTAACACTGCCCCCCTGAAAAATCAGGTCTAGAACTGCCAATCTTCAGTTTCATAGCATAAAGTTCATAGTTGCTACATGGTGACTTAAAAAGGTGTTGATTAAATGTACCTCTTGTCACCTTCAACTGAAAGTTTTAATGCATTTTTATGGGAATTTTATATGAACGACCAAAGTAAAGCTGTGTAAAAGTATCAAATGGAATAAACAAAGATCTGAAAAGTGTAACCTTAGTTTTAGTTTTTTGCCTCGCAGCATTCTGCATGAAGATTAGAGATAAACCTATGTCAAAATAATCATCATCAGATCTGATCTTTTGCTCTGTTTCTAGTCTACATGATGTTGCTCTAACTCTCCAAATTTATGTCCAAACTATGCCATTTACACTCCTTATAAATATTAAAATCCCAACAAAACCTTTTAAGGTTTTTGGTTGTATTGTGAAAAAAAGATGAATGAAGTTCAAGGTATTAAAAAAACAACACTTCTGCAGGGCATTTTCAGCTAAAGGAACAGACTGTATTTCCTTTGTGATTGAGCAGGTAAAACTTGAAGCTGGATTTCTTTCCCTCTGATTTACTGTGTGGTTTTGAAAAAATAAGTCTCCCCAGTGAGAGAAGAGGTGAAGTCAGAAAAAAAGTTTTTTTTAGGCAGAGATGTTGTAATTGAAGCTGTATCAAAGAAAGACAGAAAGACTCCAAGAGATCTGCTGCAAGGCTTCTGTTAAATCTTGGGAGCTCTGACACCACCAAGCAGAAATGGGTCAAGGTCCTGCTTTGCTTCAGGTCCATGCTCTCCTGCCTCCCCCTTTACAAACGTCTCATGCTGTAATCCCTATAATACCTCACGACTTTTGATGAGCATTCTGAAAAAGTCATAAGGTTGCATTTCAAAAGAGCACAGAGACAAAAGGAAACCAGAGCAGGCTGCCACCTTTTTCTCTCCGGCCTACAGTTACACCTCCTAACAGCACTAAGCTACACCCTGTGGGAACAATAAGGCTAAATTAATCACTTTTAAATGTCACATGGACATTATTGTGTTTGGTGGGAATGAATGGCTGCAGGAAACAGCTCATGAGTGACATCATGCTACATGCTGTCTGGGCGAAATTCACTCTCTCTGCACTTTTCCCATTTGGCAAAAACCTGGAGCGTTCTTGTCGATCGAGTTCCAAAGTTGTTCCTGGAGCGGCTCCATGCTCTCCTAACACATTAACACTCTAAAAGGGAGTTTTTTACATGTAAAAATGCCCTGACTTTACATGTTTAACAACAGACTCTGATTGTTGGTGCTGTGAAAGCTGTTTGAGCATGATCTGCTGTTGTTACTAAAAGAAAAAAAAACCTCAGTAAGGTCAGCAAGAAGGAACCGGTTTATTCTTCTGATTTACAGGGTGGAATAACTTTTCTTTGCAACATTAAATCAGTTCACTTTAAAGCTTTTCTTTAAACTGATGCCAAGTGCTGCAGTTCAGCTACAGTAACTTATTTTCATAAGCCTAGTCATAAATAGCGTAGGAAAAAGAAGGGTCACAAATATCCACTGGCAGCTGGGTTTAGGAACGCGATGCAGTCCAACACACACACATATGCAGAGAGGTCTGTGGGGTGAAGGAGTCTGAGGACACAGCAGGGTGTGGAGGATTAAAACGGATCAAAACAAAGTTAATAACTGCTAATGAGAGCCTCAGACCCCCTGGGGACCCCAATACCTCTCATTCTTTCAATCTACTACAAACACTTGCCTTGTTCAGAACATTGCAAAGTCATAAACCTTTTTATATTTTGTCACATTAAATCCCTCCAATAACTCGACTTGTTTTGTTTTTTTGCAGTCAAAGGTTATAAGATGTTCCAAAATTCATTCTTCTTTTCATTTAGTACTTGTACATCCATGAACAGAAAGAAGACCGTCATGTAAACAATGCATCTAAACTATTAGGCACCACAAGCAGATAATTAAATGAGGTTTATGGTATGTCTGGAGGATCAGCACAAAAAACATGGTGATCTTGATGGAAGACTGGGTGAAAAAATGAAAGTCATAGAGCGGACACAGCAAAAAATATGGATCAAAGTTTTCTGGTCCATTGAGGCCAAAACTGAAATCTCTGACCTAATTTTAAAATGCTTTGTGTGAAGGAAAGCTAACACTACTGATCCCCATGGTGACACATGGTAGTGGCAGCATCAGGCTGTGTGAATTATTCAGCAT